AAATACTTACAATAATTAAAAAATAATTTTCTTACTTAGATTTTTTTTGTCTTGTTTTCAGTTCAAATATCTTACAAATCTTAAATCCAGAAGCATTTTATAGACAAGCAAAACATATATTGTCTTGTTTTAAGAAATAATATGCCAAAATGAAGTGAGTTTTTCCTTAAAACAAGGTAAATAATCTGCCAATGGGGTAAGAAAATAATCTTATGTCAAAAGGAAAAACAAGATTATTTATTTTGCTTTTCCCATTGGCAGATTATTCTACTTGTTTTAAGAAAAAACTCATTTAATATTGTATATTATTTCTGAAAACAAGACAATATGTATTGCTTGCCTACAATGTAAAAAACAAATTGAACAATTAGTCATGCCAACATGTGTTTTTAGTTCATTGTAACTTATTAAACTAAGTTAGTCACGTTTTAACTTAATTTTATAAGTTATGCAAACAGTTTAAAGCAGTTTAAGATAATATAAGTTAATTCAATAAACTCATACAGTAATTTGAAAAAGTTTGTTGACACTTCTTGTTATAATGTTTAGATATTTTGCACTATAAAAAAATCTAAGTAATAAACTAACTTTTTGCAGTATAACAACATAGTATTCGCCACACTCAAAGCTGTCAGAATACACCAACTGATTTTAAACATCCAATAAACTGGAAGATATCACAACCCCATTCATTCAGTCATTCATTCTTTTTATTTCGGCTTAGTCTAGAAGTTGCCACAGCAGAATGAACCACCAACTACTCTAGCATATGTTTTACACAGCAGATGCCGTTTCAGCTTCAATACAGTATTGTGAAACACCCATACACACACACACACTCATACACTATGACCAATTTAATTTATTTTATTCAACTATAGTGCATGTCTTTGGACTGTGAAGGAAACCAAAGCACCCAGAGGAAACCTACTTGAACACGAGGAGAGCATGCAAACTCCACACTCCAGGGTCTCAAACCAGCAACCTTCTTGCTGTGAGGTGAAAATGTTAATCACTGAGCCACCGTGCCACCCTTCACAACCCCATTGACATATAAAAAAAGTAGAAAAAGTAAAAGAACATTTAAATAAAAATCTCAATGTCACATCAAATAAACATGAATATTCAGCTACCAGTTCACCAATTCAACACAAAATAACAGTTCATAAATCAAACTGTAATTCAGACCTGAAACACAACACTCTCCCCTCTGCCTTTATCTCTTTTATCTGTAAATATTGTCATATATCTTATAAATAAGCATATATTAAAATTAATTTCCAATGAAATAATTGAATATAAAACAAAAACTAACACTGGCTGGGGTAAATTAGTATGAAGCCCCATTTTCAAACCCCATTTTGGCAACTCTGAAGCGGGGATATATGAACTGTCTAAATATGACAGTCCATGTGATTTGGAATGTGCGATGAATAAGGCTCCTTTTACCCTGGTTCTGAATAAACAAGAGACCCGGGTCAGGTCCTCCAATGTGTGATCTACTTTGTAGGCCGGTGGTTAAGCGTGACATGCTTGGCCCTTAAAATATACGCTTTTTGTTAGGAGGGAAACGGACACAAAATAACAGTTCATAAATCAAACTGTAATTCAGACCTGAAACACAACACTCTCCCCTCTGCCTTTATCTCTTTTATCTGTAAATATTGTCATATATCTTATAAATAAGCATATATTAAAATTAATTTCCAATGAAATAATTGAATATAAAACAAAAACTAACACTGGCTGGGGTAAATTAGTATGAAGCCCCATTTTCAAAGCCCGTTCAGTGGGTTTATGATTACGATGATGATGTTAATGATGATGATGATGGTGATTGGTTAATTGCAGTAGACTGTGCCTGTTGAAGGTGGCTGGATTTTTGTAAGGTCCACGTATCCCAGGCCGCAGCCCTACAGAGACTGAACCACGAGCGGTGCTGGTGTAAGGCGTGTAATATATTTAACTACGGTAAAGTAGTGTTTTGAGAATTGGTAATTGCTCACATCCTTCTCTGGCCACGGGGACACTGTCCAGATCTCACCGTTCGCACACGTGTGGGGTTTCTGAGGTGCATGCTTTCAGGTCGACATGGCACGCAGCCAAACGCAGCTCTCCGGCTTGTTTCCTGACATGAAATGTTGACTGACTGATAAGAAAAACAGTAGCAAGAAATAATAACACAATCAGGAGTCGACTGATAGCCCGGTTATGCTTTTAAGCAGCCTCAGTGCTTTCATGTTGGTGGACGTTTCACCGCTGCCTTAGGCCCGAAAATCAAACTCAGCTTCACACTAGCGCTCTTTGCATAAAAGAACGTGTCTGCAGTCATAATATTTACTTTGATAATGTTTTCACGACATGGCAACTCTGAAGCGGGGATATATGAACTGTCTAAATATGACAGTCCATGTGATTTGGAATGTGCGATGAATAAGGCTCCTTTTACCCTGGTTCTGAATAAACAAGAGACCCGGGTCAGGTCCTCCAATGTGTGATCTACTTTGTAGGCCGGTGGTTAAGCGTGACATGCTTGGCCCTTAAAATATACGCTTTTTGTTAGGAGGGAAACGGACACAAAAATATACAGAATTCTCTGTAATTACGTATGAAGGTTTATTTTACTCTGAAGCCACCATAAAAAAGTCGGCCGTACGGGCTTCACGTTGTCTGGAGTAATCTGGCCTCGCGACTGGTTTGAATTTGCTGCCCCGCGACAGCAAAATTGTCGTAATCACAAAGTAAACAGATACTTCCTCTGCTATCAGAGCGAGTCGACAAAGTTAGTGAATGAGGGAACTTTCGCTGTTAATTGTTGTTTTCTTTCGTAGCCTGGTTCCAAAACACAAGCATAATTATTTGCAAGTGCTACTTTGATTTTGCAATTCGCTTTAAAGGGGGCTTAAGGTGTTTCAGCAAATTATTCACTTAGCTTTAGTTGTTTTTGCATCTCTTTATGGAAAGAAAGACTTTTTAAAGATAATATACTTTGAGAAGGAATGCGGTACTGCTTTTACAGTACTCAGGAAACGTTTCAATTATGTGAAATGTTTTCAGTGAAAAGCTACAATGCCTACCTATTTTTTTAAATCAAAAATACAGTAAAAGCAGCACTAATGTAAAATATCATTACAATAATTATTTTCTATTTGAATAGAATTTTTAGAATCAATGCTTAAGTCTTCAGTGTCGCATGATCTTTCAGAATTCATTTGAATCTGCTATTTGTAGTTTGATTGTGGATCAAAGCAAAATCTATAAATATTAAAACATTAAAAAATCTACTACATTGTTTCTTTTTTCCAACTAATTGAAATGTCATTGCAACTAATGTTTATTCAGAATATTACTCTCAAACAAACACTTGCAAGAACCATTTCGCCCCCATTCCTTCCCCATGCTTAAACACGGGATAAATGTTAATATTATTATTTTCTAACAAATTAGCAATGTAATACCATATTAAATTCAATAGTGAAAATGACCACAAGTTTCTCAGTGTTTTTGCAGTCATTTTCACCATATTTATTAGTTAAATAAAATGTTAAGCAAAACAAAGTCTTTCCACACATTGTGCAGTTCTTGTTCAATCTTTCAATAATAATAATAAAATAAAGCACAAATTTCAACACGTAAATGTTAATTAAAAAATAAAAAATAAAATAAACCAATTACTTACTTCTAAAACAAAGTCCCACCAGCTGTACAAATATTCAAGAAAAAATGTATAATCAGTTTGTTTCTCTGTTTCAAATTCAAACAAAAATAAAATAATGTAATACACTGCCATCACAGCTGCTCATTCAGATGTAAAACAAAACAAATATAAAAGACAGATATGAAAGTGATTAAATATGACAAGAGCAAATGAAATGCATACACTCACACACACACACACACACACACACACACACACACACACACGCACACACACACACACACACACACACACACACACACACACACACACACACACACACACACACACACACACACACACACACACACACACACACACACATTATCTGTTGTAATATTTAGTATCTGCTTTTACCAAGGAAAAATGAGGTCTTGTGTCATCAGATACTAAGCATTAAAAATCACCTTGGGACAAAAACCATGACTGGCCCACAACTTCATTCCCAGCAACGTTACAGGAGGTCAAACTACACAACATGGGACAATGTCTATCCACATAATTTCCCGTTGTGTACATAAATGAATGATGAATCTTATCAATTCCCCATATTTCTCATTCCTAAATCTGTTTAATTTCCCCCTACTGTATCTAGAAATGTAAATATACGACTGAAAGAAATAACATAAATGAACACAAACTATAATAGGCTTTTCAATACTGTCACCCCCTACCTCACTGCACCATTTGACCAAGTAACCAAAGACACTTATAGATTCATTCATTAATTTTCTTTTCAGCTTAGTCTCTTTATAAATCAGGGGTCGCCACAGCGGAATGAACTGCCAACTTATCCATTGTATGGTTTTACGCAGCGGATGCCAGCTGCGACTCAACACTAGGAAACACCCATACACTCTCATTCACACACATACACTACGAACAATTTAGCTTACCCAATTCACTTATACCGCATGTCTTTGGACTTGTGGGGGAAACCAGAGCACCCGCAGGAAACCCACGCAAACAAGGGGAGAACATGCAAACTCCACACAAAAATGCCAACTGACTAGTCGAGGCTCGAACCAGCAACCTTCTAGCTGTGAGGCAACAGAGCTACCCACTGCCCATTTGCTTATAGATGAAACAATTTATATATAATTATTTATATATCTATAAAATTCTACACATTTTTCATGAAGTGTGGGTGTGTGTATATACAATGTGGGTGGGTGTGTATGTATATATATATATATAAGATGATTTGTACAAATTAGAAAGTAAACTTGCCATCCTGCATCCCCCACCCCATCTTTATATCAGTTTTTAATGCCTCTCTGTTTTCCTCTTTCTCTTTTTCCAGACATAAAATGGTGCCAGGCTGCGACATGAAGGCAGAGGCTGTGAAACCGTACCCTCATCATCAGACTGTACAGTAGAAAGACAGAATCACAATCCTGGTGAAAGCAGGGCATAAAAACACTGCTGCATGATAAGGAGCTGCGCAGGGACTTTGAACATTTTATTAGTATCTATAAAAGAGGCACAAGACGACGGACACACTGTCTATAAAGCCCTAATGGAGGATCAATTAAGATGGTCAAGCTGCAGAAAGAGACTTTTACAGTGTAGGGTTTTAACACTAAACTTGTCCTTTCACACTAACGCTGAAACCACAAGACTGGAAAATGCAGTGCAGGTTTAATTCCAGCGCATCTAGCAATATATTGAGATCACTAACAGTAAACAAGTTTGTTCTGGTGTAAATATAAAATCAAGCAGATTAAGAATGACAGAAGGGTTGAGCTTACATGTTTTATGGGGACTTTCCATGGACATTCATTTTTATGTTGTTCAAACCGTATGCAATCCCTAAGTCTAAACTTAACCTGAAAGAAATAATTTTGCATTCTTGTTAAGAAAACCTAGTTTACTGTGTTTTATAAGCTGTACTTCACAAAAAAAGCCTAGCAGCATTGGAAATCCCCAAAGCACACATTTAATTTTTTTTTATTATTTATCAGTCAAAAATAAGACGTATCTTTTTTTTGTCTACATCAAATTGAATTTGTAATTTTATACACACAGAAATAATTTTGTGCATCCACAATTAAAGTGTCTATCTCAATGTTTCAGATGACTTTAGTGAAAAATAAAATGTCAAAATACTGCCATAATAAAATGCATATTTTAAATAATAATTTTTTTTCTAGTTGACAAATGTGTAAAGAAAAGTGGAAATATGAATACAAAAATATTAAATTCAATTAATTTTTATTTTAGGGCACAGTGATCCTTAAATAAAGTTTTTCTTTAATATATTATACAATTATTATTGTACTAAAAACACCTGATAAAAAAAGAAATAAATAAACAACACATTCCAATGTATTGAAAAAAACTCTTGTACTACTCTTTGATCCTTAAAAAACTTTTTTATAATTCAGCCATATATATATATATATATATATATATATATATATATATATATATATATATATAGTTGAAGTCAGAATTATTAAACCCCTTTGAATCTTTTTCTTTTTTAAATATTTCCCAAATTATGTTCAACAGAGCTAGGAAATTTTCACAGTATGTCTGATAATATTTTATCTTCTGGAGAAAGTCTTTTTTGTTTTATTTCTGCTTGAATAAAAGCAGTTTTTAATTTTTTTTTAAAACATTTTAAGGTCAAAATTATTAGCCCCTTTAAGCTAAAGGATCTATTTTTTCGATAGTCTACAGAACAAACCATTGTTATACAATAACATCCCTAATTACCCTAACCTGCTTACTTAACCTAATTAACGTAGTTAAGCCTTTAAATGTCACTTTAAGCTGTATAGAAGTGTCTTGAAAAACATCATGGTAAACTATTATTTACTGTCATCATGGCAAAAATAATATAAATCAGTTATTAGAAATGAGTTATTAAAACTATTATGTTTAGAAATGTGTTGGAAAAAATCTTCTCCGTTAAACAGAAATTGGGGAAAAAATAAACAGAGTAGGGGCTAATAATTTTGACTTCAACTAGTACAGCATATTTTAATCATAGTTCAACATTTATATTAACATCCAAATTCGTGCTTGTTAACAGTTAATGCACCTTAAGTTAACTTGAACTAATGAACAACTTTTCATTAACTCATGTCAATAAATACTGTAATAAATATATTGTTATTGTTTGTTCATGTCAGTAAATGCATTTATTAACAATAACTAATACAACCGTATTGAAAAGTGTTACCATATGGCATGTATATAATTTAACACTTAATTTAAATCAATTTCACTACTGTTAAATAATAAATATTCAAACAAGCGGCAACACAAAAGCTCCACAAATTAAATTTTATTAAATGAATTTCGTAATAATTTAAAAGTCTTATATTAATTGAATTTAATAAATTAGCATTTTTTGAAGCTTTGATGTTGCTGCCTATTTGAATATATATTTTACTATTGTCAAATATACCATAAAGTATTTAAATACTTTGCATCAAAGAAAAAAAAGTAATAGACATTTTTAAAACGTTATCAGAACCACAGCAGACTATCTTGCTAAATAAACATTCATGCTTGTGACAGAGGGGATGCTTGTATCATTCTTAAACACAGTTTTTTTTAAATATGCACATTCACTTTGACTTTTGATTATTTGAATGTGCATTTGACTTCCTCTGACATCAAAGCTTCCAAGCACACACAGACACACACATCTTCCCACAACTAATAATCTCCTATTAATTCCTGCCTTTTCCATACCTTCTCCCTTCTCTCCGTCAGGACACAGCATGACAAATTGAATTACATTTGGAACACACGACAAGCCTATCTATCAAAAACAAGTCAAAAATCTTCCCCGTGCGTGTTTATGAAAGACGTTTCTAAACTCTTCCTGACCTGAAATGTTTATATCCAGAGTTTACATTGTGAACATTTTAGATGTCATCAAAACCACCTTGCTCCAGGGGTATAAATTGGTTCCATTTGTTGGCGGGCCGAGCGGCAGGAGCCGAACGAGGGGGAAACCGAAGAGCTTCAGAAATCAGTTGTGAGCAGATCGAGACACCGTGGACTTTCAGAGGGCTTCGTGATGAGTGAAAATCAGGGATGGGGGTTCGCTGGGAAATCGCATGCCAGGTCTCAATCAGCAACATGTCCTGACAACCAGGGAGGCACGTGTCAATCAAACTCATGTGGCTTTGTGGGCAAGCAGTGAATCTGGAGGCTTTTAAGTCATCATTAAAGTAAAGCAAAACTGAAAGATGTTCTGTGCTAATGGTCTACATGTTAGTATCATACTGTCAATTATAATGTAAGTCTAGGGGCATCTTATATTATCTGTGTGTTTGTTGAAAAGGATACAAATGGTTTCAGAAAATGGATTAAACAAGACAAGTGAAGTTATTCCTACTGCTTTAATTACTGCTAAATTAATAAATAATGACTTGTGTGTTTATAAAGACTGATAGTAATGAGAAGCTAGAAAATAAAAAATAGTTTAAGCTATATTTAAAGCAAGGGTAAAACAGTGACGTAAGTTTTTATAAATATTTTTTAGTTATTGTTAAAACATTCATGTGTTGTTTTTTATGTTTTTCCTTGCTAAAGCCTTTTTGTTATATACATGTCAAAAGCCTAAAATGAAAAGTCATCTTATACTTTTATTGTTTCAGGGTTTCTAGATCCATTTTACTGTTTGCTACAGTGGCTGAGAGAGCTTAACGCACTGCAATTTAAGAAAACGTGCAATTACAAAATACACCAGGATATTAAAAAAACAACCTTCATCAAGACAGCACACGTTGCAAATTCTCACAACACAAACAACTGAAGAAACACACTGCATTTTTAAAGTGAGCTACATACTATTAAAGCAACATTTTACAAAAGCTAATGGAATCGTGTAATCAGGATATTAATATAAACAAAAAAGCTCACCTTTAAAAGACCAACAACAACTTGACTGAGCAATATTCATTTATTCATTCATTTTCTTTTCAGCTTGGTCCCTTTATAATCAGGGGTCACACAGCGGAATGAACCGCCAACTTATCCACTATATGTTTTTACACAGTGGATGCCCTTCCAGCTGCAACCCATCACTGGGAAACATCCTACACATTCATTCACACACATTCATACACTACGGTCCATTTTTTTAGCATAGCCAATTTATCTGTACCACATGTCTTTGGACTTGTGGGGGAAACCGGAGCACCCGGAGGAAACCCACGAGAAGAGAACATGCAAACTCCACAGTGAAATGCCAACTGACCTAGCTGAGGCTGACCTTCTTTCCTGCACATCGCCTGACTGAGCAACATTCACGGCATAACACATCTAAATTTCAGCAGGGTCTGTTATGTTTTTGGGACCCACAAAAATGCAAAAATTTATGTTGTGACAAAATGCAGCACGTTTCTTCAGTTATTTGTGTTGTGACAAAATACAGCGCATTTCTTCAGTTGTTTGTGAGTTGTTTGTGAATGTGTTTTCTTAAATTGCAGCTTGTTAAGCTCTTTTGACCACTATAGTTTGCCCTAGTATTTATTCATTTTAATAAATCAATTAAAAAACTTTTAAGCACATTCAATTATTTTTTAAATGACAAAACTACAGAAAAAAAAAACTGTAATACATTTACAGTTGAAGTCAAAATTATTAGCCCCTTCTTTGTTTATTTTTTCCCCCAATTTCTGTTTAACAGAGAGATTTTTTCAACACATTTCTAAACATAATAGTTTTAATAACTCATTTCTAATAACTGATTTATTTTATCTTTGTCATGATGACAGTACATAATATTTTACTAGAGATTTTGCAAGACACTTCTATACAGCTTAAAGTGACATTTAAAGGCTTAACTAGGTTAATTAGATTAACTAGGCAGGTTAGGGTATTAGGCAAGTTATTGTATAACAATAGTTTGTTCTGTAGACAATTAAAAAAATGCTTAAAGGGGCTAATACTTTTGACCTTAAAATGTTTTTTAAAACCTAAAAGGTGCTTTTATTCTTGCCGAAATAAGACAAATAAGACTGAAGAAAAAAATATTATCAGATATACTGTAAAAATGTCCTTGCACTGTTAAACATCATTTGGGAAATAAAAAAAAATAAAAAAATCAAAGGGGGGCTAATAAATCTGACTTCAACGTTATACTATTCTGTACATTCATTTATATGACCAGCAGAAAATTCTAAAACTGTCAGTAAGTCACTTTGAAAAACTGCAGGGTTATTTTTTCAACATTAAAAGGTTTTGTAGCACCCCTCCCCCCCACACACACTTTTTTCAATTTTATCATGAATTAGTGTAACATTTTTCCTTTTTTTTTTGGTTTTTAGGGTTGATTTGGGTTGGGCTAGAAATAATATTGTGGTTGTTTACATGACTGTATTCCATTATTATTCTTTTTTTTATATTTTATATTAATATTATTATTATTATTATTATTATTATTATTATTATTATTATTATTATTATATACACTACCCGTCAAAAGTTTGGGGTCAGTAAGATTTTTAAATGTTTTAAAATAAGCTTCTTCTGCTCATCAAGGCTGCATTTATTTAATCAAAAATACAGTACAAATTGTTCAATTTTGAAATGTTATTGCACTATAAAATACCCTATCATAAGTAGTTTATCATTTATTCCAGGGATTTTAAAGATGAATTTGCAGCTTCATTACTCCAGTCTACAGAGTCAAATGAACCTTCAGAAATCACTCTAATTATTATTAATTAGAAATTAAATCTTCTAAATATTCTTACTATTATTATTATTATTATTATTATTATTATTAATGGTAATAGTAATAAAAGCAATAATCTTTAGTGTAATAATTGTCATTTGAAACTACATACAATAAGTAATAAATTCATATTTAAAAATTAATATTTAATAATTAAAAAAATACATTCAATAAATGCCGCCTTGATGAACAGAATAATGTTATTTTAAAAAAATGAATCATGGATACAACGTCAAAATTTTAAGTTTTTACTAATCTCACTAGAACATTTGACACAAGTCACACACACACACACACACACACACACACACACACACACACACACACACACACACACACACACACACACACACACACACACACACACACACACACACACACACACACACACACAAAAAGACTTTAATCCCACCTTCTGCAAAGACAGTGAGTGAGGAAGTTTTATAAACTCTGTTCAGGAAGGGACAATAACAAAAGTCAGAGCTCATTGTAGCTCATTAGTGAGCGGATATAGTCCATTATCTGCTCATCTAAAACACTCTCAATCACAACGTTGCCAAACAATGTCAAGAGGACGTCGCTAAGAGCCTCTACTATAA